AAGTACGAAAGCCTATTAGGATCAATCTAGAGAAAAAAAAATTTAAAAGGTGTTATAACGCCTTTCGAAAAGGCGTAATAACGCGAAGAAAGGCATTATAACGCCTTTTGAAAAGGCGTTATTACGCCTTTCCATTCCAAAAGGCGTTATTACGCCTTTTTGAAAGGCGTTATAACGCCTTCCTAAAAGCATTATTACGCCTTTCCATTCTAGAAGGCGTTATTACGCCTTTCCAAAAGGCGTTATTACACCTTTCACTTTCAATACATAATTAAACATATTTAGCCCAACCGAGGGGGGGGGATGGGGGTGTATGCAGAAATCGTACCTTTGGGACATGAATTTCACAATTAGATATAGGACTAATTTCTCAAAAAATAATTTAAACAGATAGCAATTAGATTTCCAGGAAAAAAGATTTTTAAATGCGTCATATATTTTCAATGTTGAACCAACTAAGTCCTTCTTTCATACCAGGCACACCTCTACCAAGGGTCATTGATTTCAAATGCTCATTATACCCATGCAAATAGTTGCTGCTTTTTTCCAAGAAGAGAGAAAAATATCTTCAAATGACATAAATTTTAATACACTGTACATGGCAAGCAAAGCTCCAAGATAAATCTGCCTATATATTCTAGATCTTCACAAGTAGAGTATTGCCTTCTCTTAATACGAATGCAAACAGTTGTCAGTGAGATGTGCAGGAATATAGAGAATTGCATAAATAAAGATGGTTTTAATTAAATCTTTCTATATTTATTAACAAAACATAACGCCTTTTCCTTTTCATGTAATACGAGTGCGAATGGGGTAAACCCCCTCCAAACATACACACTTTTGAGGAAAAGTCTTGCTACAGTTTAAATATTATAATTAACTAATGGTTTCTTGGTTCCTGAACATTTTGTTGCAGTATGTAAATTAAACTGTGACAAATTATTGCATTTAAATAAATTTTTATCGAGTATTTCCCCCACGAATTTGGCCAGTGGAGTGTGTGTGTGTGTGGGGGGGGGGGGGGGGCGCTATTAAAAGCACGGGCCTGTTAAATGCAAAATAATGGATATTCAAAAAGAATAATAACATTTTTGGAAAGGCATAATAACGCCTTTTAGAAAGGCGTAATAACGCTTTTTAGAAAGGCGTAATAACGCCTTTTAGAAAGGCATAATAACGCCTTTCAGGAAGGAGTAATAACGCCTTTTGAAAAGGCGTAATAACGCCTTTTGGAAAGGCGTAATAACTCCTTTTAGAAAGGCGTAATAACGCCTTCTAGAATGGAAAGGCGTAATAACGCCTTTTAGAAAGGCGTTATAACGCCTTTTATAAAGGCGTAATAACGCCTTCTAGAATGGAAAGGCGTAATAACGCCTTTTAGAAAGGCGTTATAACGCCTTTTAAAAAGGCATTATAACGCCTTTTGGAACGGAAAGGCGTAATAACGCCTTTTTTCGCGTTATTACGCCTTTTCAAAAGGCGTTATAATGCCTTTTAAATTTTTTTTTCTCTCGAGATTGATCCTAATAGGCTTTCGTATGCAAGAAACCAGGTAACACTTAGCGAAATGTTTTCCTTTATTTCACTTTAAATTTTGACATCGTTTTGTGCTGATATACAGAAATGTATTGGCATGATTATCATCTGCGAAGTACAGACCTACAAGGAAAAAAATGAAAATATTCAGCTTGTTGAAATTTCATTGCAAAAGCTCAAAGGGTTCTCGAGATATCGCGCGGAAACGTGTTATTACAGACAGAATTTGCGAATTTTTTACCTTGACCTTTTGACCTAAAAATCAGTAGGGTTCTTCTTTGGTCCATAGGGAGTTGCTATGCAAAATTTCATTCCGAAAGCGCAAAGGGTTCTCGAGATATCTTGTGCACTGAACAGGCCTAGGTAGCCCATGTTACTGAGCTATCACCGCCACACATACAATACATTTTAAAAGGTCACTGCATAAACACAGCTGGATTTTTTTTTTTTGGGGGGGGGGGGTCATTTTAATGGTCTCTGGGTTTTCTCTTCATTTTTACAAATGTATATTCGTTTCTTGGCATTAAGATATATACAAATAACGTTTCAAAATCATGAACAGAAGACCCCAGAGATAGAAAGTTTTAGAAAAAACGTGTTTAAAAATATACCATTTTGTACTAATTGTCTGAGCCTGCCGATTTTCTGTTTATTTTTTAGCGAAACAAAATTCACGTTCGGGAAAATATATTCCTTTCCTTTTGCAGAGGAACCCAATAAAAAAACATCTGATTTATACCACTTCTTGAAAACACTGTTGCACAGTACTAATAAAGTTTTTCCGTCATCACTTTTGTTAATATTTTAGTGAGGGGTAAAAAAGAGGCTTTGTTCAGCATTTCCTGGAACCTACTATGTATCTTTGATTGTGAAGAATTTTTATGAACTTCCGAATCAAATATAGATATGGTATTTCAAATTCATTTTGGCTTTTTGGGATCTTCAAAAATATTCAAAATTCACATATGATTTTGGAGATCCAGAAGTGAAAATGAAAGGGATCTATGAGTATAAGTTGGATTACCATTTGTAGTTCTTCTCAAATACAATTTATATAATGAACCTTAAAAACGAAGACGGTGTTGTCACCCGCTTTGTCAGCAGGGACCAGTATCAGTATTACATGATCAGGACTGTATATTTTTTTCACTCCTGGATTGTTGAACACAGAAGGAAAAATGGTTTTCATATTACCCCTCTATCTTTTAAAACACGATTGTAACAAAGACCTAATACATTTAATCCATTCCGATAAGGTGTCAAAGACTTTTTTTTTTTTTTTTACATATCTGGTCCATGGCCTGGCGTAATCTTCTACAGAATTCATAGGCGGAGAACAACCTTTTAAATTTAATGCCAGGTCTCTCGCTCTTTTTATTTGACATTTTTTTTTTATTTCATGAACAACCTACTTTAACGTTACTTCCTCTCACCATTCTGTCTTTTAAGAAGTCAAAACTATATTTTTAAAAAATCCTCATATGAAATGTTTATCTAAATATATACGTCATTTTGAAACAAATATAATAAATCCTAAACTGAGAAAGTAATTTTCATTACTTAGTATATCTTGGTCTTTGCTTTAGATAATGCTCAGCACGTGTGCTGATAGGATTTTAGCTTCGCACTTCAAACTTAAACAATCAGGATTCGATCAGATAAAACATTGACCACATTATTTATTTTTTTATTTTTTTAATTTTATAATCATTGTGCGTTTTGGTCAAACATTTGGACATTCTTGATTAATATACTACATGAAAGTTAATTGTTTTGTTCCGAATAAACGTGCGGCTACTTAAAACTTTCATATCAAATAAACGCCCCGTGGGGATCCAGGTTAGAATAGGTCCTCAGTACCCCCTTGCTTATCGTAAAAGGCGACTAAATGGGGCGGTCCTTCGGATGAGACCGTATAAACCGAGGCCCCGTGTCACAGCAGGTGTGGCACGATAAAGATCCCTCCCTGCTCAAAGGCCGTAAGTGCCGAGCACAGGCCTAAATTTGCAGCCCTTCACCGGCAATGGTGACGTCTCCATATCAGTGAAATATTCTGGAGAGGGACGTTAAACAGTATACAATCAATCAATCAATCATATCAAATAAACATTTATATCAAATAACCGACTTTATTACATTTTTACCCGTGAAATACTGTAATTTATTTATTGAATAAAAATGATATCCTGTCACACTGTGAAAGGATATCAAAATGATATCCTGTCACAGTGTGATGAATATCAGAAGTGCGGGAAAACTCTCGATTTCCCTTTCCATAACGAAGATTGCTGTAAAAAAAATCTTCCTTGACCTAATATAAGATAGATAAAAATAAATAAACCACTCTGACGGTGAATAAAATGGTTAAACTTACCAAAAATATGTTGCTAAATCCATGCTTACAGTGTTTTCACCTCATATAGCTATGACGTCTCAACCGCTCAACTATGACGTCACGAGCCTATGACTGTATAACAAAAAGACAGAGGCAACGGAAAAATCAAAGAATTTTATTTTAAAAATGTAATAAACAGAAAATTCAATGTTTTATAGTTGAATATGGAATTTATTTCACTCGTGAGACAGGATTTTTGATATTTTCACTCGTGCTTCGCACTCGTGAAAATATCAAAAATCCTGTCCCACTCGTGAAATAAATTCCATATTCAACTACAAAACATTGAATATCCTCTATGTCTCCTGGCGGTTGGTAATAAATTTTTAAAGAAAAGTTTGTTTTTTTACTCATAAAAGTATATATAAATACAATGAAACAGTCGTATGCATTTATTTTTCAAGCATGATTTGATATTATATATAATATTCTATTGCATATCAAAGATGCTAAAAGGAATTATACTTTTAAAGACGTACCACACACTGGGGAGATAACTCTTGCGATTTCAATTGAACGTTTGACGTGACGTCAAATTTAACGTCAAAATAAAGCGTCAAAATGACGAGTGAAACGATCCCGATGTATCAATCATAAAGAAAAATGGGATATGGGGCTTGGTTGTGATTATGAGTACCATACTCAATCCATGAGTATTTTTTAATTAACCTGATTTAACTCAGATAAAAGTAAGACACAAAATATCATCCCTTAATGTTTATTTCATTTCTTATACTTATACAATAAATTGTATTCTTGATCAAAGAGCAGAATTTTTTTATGCTGAAAATTTTATTTTACATTGCCGAAATTCTCATTATGTACAATTGGCTACATAACATTCCGATTAATGGTCTTTATTATAATTTGTCAAATTTTGTTGATTTCGAAAATTACTGTAAAGTCTAGATCATGATCAAGTCGAAAACAGTGAATGCAAAAGAAAAACTGCTTCCAACCGTCTCTGAAAAATAAAGAAAAAAAAACCAAGTAGAATTCGAATAGAATGTGTTATAGTCCATTCAAAAATATATTAAAATAAAATAAAATGACACTATTAATCAAGTACCTTCATTTTTCGGTTGTGTCGATAAACCGAATTTCGAACAATTTTCTCCGTATTTGCCCAAGAGACTGACGACTTTTTCTTCATCCATTCTGTTGGTCCCTTTTTTACCCTCTTGAATCCCTTTCTGAGCAAAGTTTCGTGGGCTGCTGACTCAGCCCCGTTCATTTCCCAGGCTGAGAACGACCTTTCCAATGTTGTGCTTGGTCTTGTTCTCCTTATTTGTTTATGTCGTCGTCTAGGTTTTCTTGAGCTTCCAACTTTGAAGGTATTTCCTCTCCCCCTCATCACATAGACTTTTCCGCGACCACGATGCCGGCCCATAGCCATCTTTGATCTATATAAAAAGATATCAATATGAAACTGGATTAAAATACATTCAGGGGTATTGTTGTTTTATGAAGGTCTAGAAGAATCAATTTCCTTAAAAACAGATGAAAGAAAAATCCTATTAGATTGTAGTCTGCGTTATATCATACATGTAGTTAGAAATAATCTTTAACCAATTACAAATGCATTTTTTGCATTCCAATTTTTTTTTTACTGTATACAGGGAAATGTTCGCCCCATTTTATTTTAGGGCGAATTTAAAACGGGGCGAATTAAAAAAATTCAGTATAATTTCTTAAATAACACTACGATTAGGCGAACTTAAAACGGGGCAAATTTGTTTTACATTGTGAAAGGGCGAAAATAACACATAGACTAGTAATCTCAATCACAGGGAATAATAAATTCTAATGGTTTGTTTTTTCCCCAGTATTTTTGCCCTTTTTTTTATATCTTCGTTTTTGTTCCAGTTTTCAATTTTGATGCGTAATAATTACACCGTGCTAAAATTGGCAGGAGGACTTAAATGAGTTTCTTTTCTTTTTGTAAAGAAAATTTCTAAATTTTTTTCCTGTGGTTGTCACGAAAATATTAAACAATAATTAGATTGCAGTAGCCTTTGTTTTCTGAAGCCTGTAACCAATATTTTACGTGCTAACGTTTATATAAACTTAAGTCTGAATTAACAACAAATATTTAAAAATATTCAATCACATACTACACGTTATACTTGATACGTTTCTTATCTGAGGTAGGCATCCTGGCTTTTACTATGAATGAGTGACATTTTCAGTAGCATCCTGACAATATGCATTGCACAGATATTTCATAAATTTAACAAGTTATAAAAATTTTTATAAATAAATAAAGTTTTTCTTTTGCCTCTTGTGATATCTGATTAATCCTTTATTTAAGAAGAAGAAATTCTACTCCAGCACAGGATCATTTACTTATTTAAAGTTTTTATATCGGAACAACTGCATTGTTTTTTGGGTTCCGTATGAATTGTTAAGATGCTATCCATATATTAATTAAATAATTGTACAAATATTGCTCTAGAAATTTGTAACTACATAACTTAATAACCATTTACTTACGCTACTGTCAGTCCGATTACTTTGTAAATCCTTTCCTTTAATTTGTATATTATACTGTACAGTTATTTTGAAAAAATATGTAAGTTCTAAAAATAACTTTACACGGACCATGTGTGACTTGGTGCTATAAATATCTCCTTGTATTCCTATTCTAATCGACAGCTTATTGTTTGGAAAATCCATTTTTTTTCCGTTTCCCAGGTAAAATAAGGTATATGTATGGAACGCCATAGCTGTCTTATTTTGTTATTTCATGTAAAGATGGTGCTTTATTAATATTATGCTGTATTTATTTCATGTGAATATGGAACTTTGCTTTTTTATGTTATGTTGTGGTTATATCATGTGATATAGTGCTTTTTTTAAAAATCATTTTTTGTTTATTCCATCACATAATATTTACATTTGCAAATGTTTTCCTTTATATAACACTACTAAAGGCAAGCGTTTTTATAACTGTATAAATACAGGTATGGGGTCAAGAGGTCATAGATGTGCGTTTGGATAAACGTTCGACGTAATTTCTCTGTGACGTCATAAAGGGTCGACGCGCGTTTAGTGGATTACATACATGCCGTTGGGTTTGAAAAATTAACGCATTTCACACGTAAAAAGTAACAATCAGGCAAATATAAAGTATGAATAAGTCACTTCGGGCTTTATGGGATTTGATCACGTGACCAACCCGTTTTAATAAAACTCAAAAAATGATACCTTATTTCTTAAATAAAGCATCACCTTCATAAAATATCCACAGCATAATGAACAAGAGGCCCACAGGCCTTATAGGTCACCTGAGTATCATGTAACAACTTTAACAATGGAATTTGGTTTGTGTTTTAAACCAGAGGTCATGAAATTCACAATTTTGAAAGAGGCACCGTTGCTTATCATAATTATACACTAAGCATGCTTACTCTAGCTACATAATACCCAGAGGTAGATCAGAGTAACAAAGAAAAAAAATGCATTTCCACTTTGTAACAAGTTGTCCAAGACCCAACAGGAAGCACAAATATCAAAATTGTGGAAATGTTATAATAAATTTTATTTCATCATAAATGTTTTATTAATGCCAAAAAACAGACTTGAAAGCATTAATTTATTTTCAGACTATGTTACCCCCCCCCCACCCCCCACCCTCGATACCCCTGACACAGGGGGGCATGAAATTAACCATTCTGCTAGATGCACCTTTCTTCATCATAAATATATATACTTAGATCATTGGCATAATACCTAGGAGCAAAGGAAATATTTTTAAAGAATTAATGCATTTTCACTATATAATCAATAGAGCCTGCCCTGACACCAGAACACCTAACCCAGGGGCCATGAAATTGACAATTTTGGAGGAGGCATCCATCCTAATCATCACCATGTTCATAGTTCATTGGTTTAATACCCAGGAGCAGTAAAGAAGATTTCCAAAGACTATATAATCAATAGAGCCCCGCCCTAACACCAGAACCCCTGACCTTGGGGCCATAAAATTCACAATTTTGGTAGAGGCACTCTTGCTCATCATAAGTATGTACTTAGTTTATGTAATACTCAGGTGCAGAGAAGAAGATTTTCAAAGAAATAATGCATTTTCACTATATAATCAATAGAGCCCCACCCTAACACGAGAACCTCTGACTCTGGGGCCATAAAATTCACAATTTTGGAAAAGGCACTCTTGCTCATCAGAACTATTTACTTAGTTGGTTTATTTAATACCCAAAAGCAGAGAAGAAGATTTTTCTAAGAATTAATGCATTTTCATTATTTAATCAATAGAGCCCCACCCTAACACCAGAACCCCTGACCCAAGGGCCATGAAAGTCACAATTTTTGAAGAGGCACGCTTGTTCATTATAACTATGTACTTGGTTAGTTTGTTTAATACCCAGGAGCAGAGGAGAAGATTTACAAAGAAATAATGAGCTTTCACTATATGATCTATATAGCCCCACCCCAACACCAGAACCCCTGACCCTGGGGCCATGAATTTCACAATTTTTGTAGAGGACTCAATGCTGATTACAATCATGTCAACAGTTTGACTGCTTGATGTCCATGAGTAAAGAAGATTTTTAAAGATTGCACTAATTTTAGTGGTTTTGGCCCCACCCCTCAGGCCCCAGGGGGCAGGGACCATGAAGTTAACAATTTTTGTTCTTCTTTACCCATAGATGCTATATACCAAATTTGGTTGAAATTGGTTTTGTGGTTCCAGAGAAGAAGCTAAAAATGTTCAAAAGTTTACGAACGACGTACGACGTACGACGACGGACGAAAACGGATAGCAATAGGTCACCTGAGTTTACTGAGTTGAAATGAGTTTACTCAGGTGACCTAAAGAAAACCACTTGACTATCTTCACAAGAAATAACCACAGCATAACATAATAAAGCACAATCTTTAATTTTAAAAAACCACATCAGTCAGCTATGGCGTTCCATAGCGATGCTTTTGATTCAAAAGAAATGATGCATAGTAATTCACATATATTTAAAATGATTAATTACACAAGAGGCTGTGATTTAGAAAAAAAAATTCTAATGGTTTGTTGTAGCGCATTTTGAAAAATTACACACTTTGAGGAAAAAATTCAAAGTGAACCATTGTTCATTTCTTTTACATTTACCATTGCTCTCTCTTTCTTTTCTCTCTCTCACTAGGACTGGTTCGCCATGACCATATTCTCTCCAAGTGTTACAAGTTGAATTTAATTTACAAACACTCTGTATGAGATTTCAAGTCAACACCGTTTGTACTCACCAATAATTCCCCTGTCACTATATTTTTATGGAGAATAGTTTATAACCAACTTTTGAAAAAAAGTATCACAGCAATAAAATTTTGCGTGTATATTTATTTCATGTTGAAAGTTATATTGAAATGAGTTTTCAATCACCGAATAAAAAGAAAATAGAGTATTTCATCTTTCCTTCCTTTTTCCTTACTGGAATATGATCATATTGAAATAAGTAAACTGCACATTTCACAAAAGGTCTAACGTTAGCAAATGGATCACTTGAAGTTCAGAATTCTGAATCAATTGTTCTCATATTTGTCATATCTTGAAACAAAAATGCACATTTAAATCTCAGGGTATTATCTCTTTTTGAGTTCCAGAAGATAATAAATGACTGCTTTCAGTTCTCTCTGAAAATAGAAAAAAAATCTAAAGTATAAGCATACACACAGAAAACATAATTTGAGTTATAATATAAACAAAGGTATTCAACAAAATATAAATGACTGTATTTGACAACAATTTAATTACCCTCTGATTACTGTGGTGTCCAATTACGGCATTCTTATCAATTTTCTCTGCATTCACCAATGTGATCGACGATCTCTTCTGAAACAATTCTATTTTCCCAGTCCTACTCGTCTTGATCGGCTTGAACCCCATTTTGATGAGGGCAGATTCTGCCCCATTCCTTTCCCAGGCTGACAATGACCTTTTCAAGGCTGTAGTTGGTCTTGTTCTCCTTATTTCTTGAAGTCGTCGTCTAGGTTGTCTAGAGCATCCAACTTTGAAGTTATTTCCTCTCTCCCTCATCGAATAGTATTTTCCGATACCATCCAAAGCCATTTCTGGTCTATAATTAAAGTTTAATATATGAAACATGATAAAAATAAATTTAGATGTATCGTTCTTTTATGAAGATCTTAAGAAGAATAGCTTTCCTTAAAAAAAACATATGACAGAAAATTAGATTGTAGTCTACGTTATGTCATACATGAAAAAAAAAAAAAGAAAAAAATCTTGAATTTTCCCCTTTCAAATGCTTTTTTGCATTCACATTTTGCTAATCTTAAAGACAGAGAAAGATAAATTCTTCTGATTTGGTTTTCTAAGTTTTTCAGCCGATCATTGTTCTTATATATTTGTTTTTTTTTTTCATCATTCAAAATATTCAAGCACATACTTTAAGTTACACTTAACAACTGATGTAAGCTTCCTGATTTCTGCTCTGTATGAATGTTATCTTTGATAATTATATTTCCAATGTCTTTGTCTAAGATAAAATTACAAATAGTAATGTTTTTAATTTCTACTTAAATCTACTGGTTCATCGATAGGTGCGTTTAAAAAATCACGTGCATGCGGGGAAAATAGAGACAGAAGCGGACTTAGAGCATGGGGATTTGCGGAAACAAGAGCATGTAAATGAAACACATGGAGATAACGAAGAGTAATCAAGATCAAACTTTCATAAAACAATACAAAAAAGGAGCAGAGCAAACTCGGATATCCAAAACATCAGAGGTGGGATAAAGTGCCGTAGAGGAGTGAGCATCCCCTGCCGACCGGTCACACCCGCCGTGCGTTCCTTGTCATGATCGGGAAATAACGGAAAAATCCGTCGTCAATTCATTGTATTTTATACATAACCGACTTCGGTGTTTATGCAAATTACCATGTAAGCCACTCGATTGACCACCCACATCACATTCATGAGGCCAAAAAATGAGACAGTTATTCATTAATTTGAATCCTGAAAACATGCATTACACATCGATTTCAAGGATTTAACAAGTTATGGAATATTTGAAGAAAAAAAAAAACAAACAAAGGGTTGTGATACATGTATGGGTTAAATCCTTTTTCTCATAAAGAAGAAAAACTACTTCAGAACAGAATCATTATGAAATGTTAGAGTACTCATTTTGAGTTCCGATATTGGATCAACTGCACTGGCTTGAGGGTTCCGTATCAATTGTAAAGATGCAATCAATAAATAAATTAGATAATAATACAAATATTGCTCTAGAAATGTGTAATTATATAACTATACTAAATAACCCTTTACTTACGCTTCTGTCAGTCCGATTACTTTGTAAATCTTTTTCTTTCGTTTGTATTTAATATTGTATACATGTAGTTATTTTTAAAATAAATGAAAGTTCTAAAAAAAAAACTTTTTAACGGAGAATTTGTGACTTGGTGCTATTAATATACTCATACACATGTTTAAAGTGTTCTTATTCTAAGCGATATTTCATTTTTAGAAAAATCCATTTTTCAGTTTCCCCGGTAATGTAAAGGATATGCTTTTTATTTAAAAGACATTATGCATACTAATTTGTATATATTCAAAATAATACATTACACAAAAGGCTGTGATTTAGAAAATAAAGAATGCTTTTTCATACCGCATTTTGAAAAATTACAAATTTTTGAGAAGAAAAAAAATCACAGAGCGTGAAATTTTGGACCAAGAAACGTTTTTTAAAAAGAAAAAAATATTACTTTTCAAGGTATGTTTATATCGACCGTATTTACACACTTCGAAGAAAAAGGCACGACTTGGCCAATATTCTTGCAAGTATAAGTTTGATAGATAACTATTTGGTGTCTGGTTGGTGATGACGTCACTTCAGGATTAATATCATTTATAGACTATTTTTCCAAAAAGAATCTCTTAAACACTATAAGAGGGAAATTTGTCCTTGAGAATGGGTGGAGGAATGATTGTTCTCTTTTTAAAACAATTTTGTGTATTGTTTTTTATTTCATTTTTTCCATGATTAATGAAAGATACTGAGTTTGATAAGTGACTTAAAAGTGATAACAATAAAACCATCATAGGTATTGATGCACGTTGTTCAATCCAGTTCATTAATTTTAATTGATATAGCATAAACTTAAAACTTGAAAAAAAAAAGTTCCTGATACCAATTAAGGAAATGCCCATAAAAAATAAAAAAAAAATACAGTTGTGGAAACTTACTGAGTTAAATGTTATAAACAAAGCTAAGAATGTGCGTATTTTGTTTTTTATCAAATTGTCTTAGATTATCAATATATAGTTTTCCTTTGATTGGGATAAAACAGTTTGTATTATTTATGTAATATAGCATAACTATCGACTTCGTTCTCTAAACCTTTACTCTGTCAGAACACTTCATATCATACAATGAATAAGAGTCTTATTCATTGTCAATATTCGAATATTCATTCGATGAGTTGATATTCGAATATAAATTCATGATTCGAATATTCGGATTTTAAGTATACAAGCACCAAAAAAAAAAAAAAAAAAAAAAAAAAAAAAAAATCTGGCAAAAACTGAAGTTTTATCAGAAATTGAATCAAATTCTCATTGTTGACCAATAATAAGATTTTATTTAAAACAAAATTAATTTTTTTAAAGACTGTGACTCCTCTTGGATTACCTTAAAGGTGTGAAGAATGTGTCTATTAAAATGATATAAATTATTCATTTGATCATTTAATTAGAGATATAACAGTGTCCAGTACTTATAATAAGTTTGTATTGTTGAAAGGACACATTTTTGTTTATTTATACATCATTTAAAATAATTATCAGGAAATTAATTAGCTAAAAGTAGTTGCTTTTAATGTTTCTCCATTCGATAATTGTTCTGTGTGGTATAAATCTGTAGGGTTATCAGTGTACACTTTGGTAAAATGATTAATTAATCTGCAACTTATTAAAAGAATCTTTTGAATTTTCGGGGGAAAATTTTTTTTATTACATTTTGGATATAAACTCTTCATATATTCTGTAAAATATTTTAAGAATATGATTAAAGTGCATTTACAAATCTCTACATGAAATTTTATTCCAAAAATATGACATAAAACGTATATATTGCTTGACAAAAGAGTGAAGATATATACATATTATAATGCAAGATGTATTTATTTTATCGAATATTCGAATATATTCGAATACTACTATCGAATATTCGAATATCAATTATTGACAATTTTGACATCCCTAAATAAGACTACTTGATTTTACCCGTATGCTTAAGAAAAATACAATTAAGTATTCCTACAAAAACATTAAAAAAATTACACAGGGTCATTATTCTACAGGGGTCATTTTTAGACAATCCACAAGGAGAAAATGATCCAAAGGCCATAATTTCTACAAAAAGTTTTTTTCTACATAGAATATTGACCAGGGGGTCAAATTACCATGTAGATAAATGATCCTTAGTCAATATTCTACGGGGGTTACTTCTCGTCGTTTAACCGGACAATTAAAAAATAAAAAGTTATGTAGCTTACAAGATAATATTGGCGAAAGATTATCCCGTTATTTCCCGATCATGACAAGGAGCACACAGCGGGTGAGACCGGTCGGCAGGGTATGGCATCTGATTCAACTCTGATGTTTTAGAGATCCATGGTTGCTCTGCTCCAAAAGTTTTATTTTTAATGGACTTTTGATCTTGAATTCTGTTCATTCTCTTCCTATTTTTCTATACTCTAACGTTTAAGTTCATAAAAGCATTCAGACTTACACTTTATGTGTTTACTTTATTTTTTATTGTTCTTTTGAGATTTATCCCTCCCGTCGAGCGATACTTTTTGCCTTTGAAAGGCTGCAATTTAAGATACTATATAGTCGGTATTTAGGGCCATTGAACAGTTAGGGATCTTTTATGTGCCAGAATTTTCTACGTAATTGTACCTAGGTTTGAATACACCGGTCGACACGTCCCACACTCGGATTCGAACTCGGAATGTAAGAATTAACTCCTTTTTCCACGACTTTAGAACAAACCCTTTACCACTTTCCCAATCAGTCGACCTTACTATGACTTATTTAATAAAAACTTACAGTTTCAAGTTTTTATGCCAGACAAAGATCCCAAGTAGTGTATATGAATACAAATAATACAACAAAATTATAGCATGAAGGATATCACTATCAAAATTCATAAAACAATACAAAAAGAGCAAACACGGACCTCCAAAACTTCAGAGGTGGGGTCAGGTGCCATGGAGAAGTGAGCATCACACCCGCCGTACGTGTGCTCCTTGTCATGATCGGCAAATACTGGCCACAGTAACGGAAAAATCCGTCGTTAATTCAGTGTGTAAATAATTGACTAACAATTAGTATAAAAAACGTCAGTCAGTCAATGATAAATTGTATTTGCTAACAAGGTCATTGTATTGACCGTAACACTTCCGAAATGATGACTTTAAGCGAAACTGCTGATATTCTTGTTTCATGAACTTGTTTTTCAATAATTTACCTAGTTTTAGAAATTGTTCATACGTAGAGCATGTACTTGCGCATCGAATCAACTGAGAGATATAGACCCGTATACAGGTGATGAAGGTATATTGCTGCATAAGTAAGGGAAATTGACGATAGATCAGTCATCACGTTTATCATAGAGCTGGTTGTTAGATTACCATTAACATCCTTTTCAAGTAAAATATCCAAGTATGAAACAGATTTAGTATCTTTTATTTTAAGCTCACAAGAATACATCGTACCGATATGGAAATGGAAATTACCATTATTAATTGACAATACGTTGTTGATATATCAAAATGTGGAGTTGAAGGTCACAGCAAGTGTATTCCTCTTTTCATGTTGAAGATTTTGCACATATTCTGCTCCATATGAATACAAAAATAGGTCTGCTAATAACGGAGCGCAAATGGTAGCCATTGGATTCCCAGTAGATTGTTAGAAGACCTGATTTTGATACTTAGATTTTAGTTATTGAGAGAATCTGTTTGTAATTATATCTTACGAAAAACTTTCTAATTCTCATGTATTGTTTTAGCCTCATTGAGATCAAGGAGAAGACGAGTAAAAGGTATCACAGCTAAACTCTTTTTTCTTATACATTATACATAGCCGTCGGTAGAAAATTGAAAGTAGACCCCCTAAAGGTAAGCCCCAATTGTCAATGCATTTATTCTATATAGCTTTGCAAAACATTTTTTGCGTAAACCCCCCACCCACCCGTACTCTATGTTACACCCAATAATACTCATATGTATTTGTTTACAATGTAAACAATGTGTTATCCATGGATCCTCCGCCGGCTCATTCGAACACTTCTGCTAATTTGAGTTCGAGGCCTGCATGGGTTGACCAGTTGTTCAGGAGGATTGGCGATATCGACTTAAAATTATCGCGAATTGACAAAATAAGCGATGACCTAGAATCGGTGGTGCTGTCCATTGACTCATTGCAGAAACGTGTATCCAGCGTCGAGAGTCATACTGGTAAACTGGGGAATGCTATGGGGGATCTACGCAGAACTCAAAGTCGTTTATGTGAGGCTATGGACAGGACAGAGCAAGAGGCTGAGAAGACAAAGGTAATTAATGAGCAATTAAGGAAACAGGTCACAGATCTCAATGATAAAATTCTTGACCTTCAGTGTCGAAGCATGAGGGATAATTTATTATTTTTCGGTCTTGCCGAATACCATGGTAACAGAAAAGAGAACTGTGAAAGACTCATAAATGACTTTTGTGAATTCGAGTTGAATATATCTGGAGTTGGAAATTACATCGAGCGTGCCCATCGATTGGGAAGATTCAACAATCAATCTGTGCGGCCTATTGTCGTGAAATTCTCCAGTTTTAAGGAACGGGAGAGGGTTAGGATGAGTGCATTCAAATTGAAGGAGACTGGATTCAGTGTGAAAGAGCAGTTTCCAGGTGAAGTTGTGAATAGGCGTAAATTATTATTCCCGGTTATGCAGAGAGCCTTGCAGAATAACAAACGCGCCGTGCTGAGGGTCGATAAGCTATACATAGACGGACGCCTATACAGAGGGGATGGTGAGGAGGAAGAGGCCAGGGATGATAGAGCGAGTAATTCCGAGAATATGGACGAGCATGAAGACGAGCGTGAATAGGGGTGTGAGGGGGTTGACTCTTGTTCCGTCATCAGTTGGAACATCAATGGAGGCTTTGCGACTAAGTTTAATGACCCTAAATTTAGAAATTTTATTCTTTCTTATGATATTATTTTGTTGACAGAGTGTTGGTTAGAAAACAGTTACACGCTACATGTTGACGGATTTGTATGTCATACATTTCCTAGAAAGAGGTCTAAGTGTATACAAAGGTGGTGG